GCAAATAATCCAGTTAAAAAATGGGCAGAGGATATGAATAGACACTTCTCCAAAGCAGAAATTCAGATGGCCAACAGGCACATGAAAAGATGCTCCACATCCCTCATCATCAGAGAAATGCAAATTAAAACCACAATGAGATATCACCTCACACCAGTAAGGATGGCCAACACCCAAAAGACAAACAATGACAAATGTTTACAAGGATGTGGAGAAAGGCGAACCCTCCTACACTGCTGGTGGAAATGTAAATTAGTTCAACCATTGTGGAAAGCAGTATGGAGATTCCTCAAAAAAACTAAAAGTAGAAATACCATTTGACCCAGGAACTGTACTCTTAGGAATTTGCCCTAAGAATGCAGGACCCCAGATTCAAAAAGACACCTGCACCCCTATGTTTATTGCAGCACTATTTACAATAGCCAAGAAATGGAAGCAACCTAAGTGTCCATCAGTAGATGAATGGATAAAGAAGATGTGGTACATATACACAATGGAATATTATTCAGCCATAAGAAGAAAACAAATCCTACCATTTGCAACAACATGGATGGAGCCAGAGGGTATTATGCTCAGTGAAATAAGCCAGACAGAGAAAGACAAGTACCAAATGATTTCACTCAGAGGTGGAGTATAACAACAAAGCAAAAACTGAAGGAACTAAACAGCAGCAGACTCACAGAACCCAAGAATGGACTAACAGTTACCAAAGGGAAAGGGACTGGGGAGGGTGGGGGTAAGGGAGGGATAAGGGGATTAAGGGGCATTGTGATTAGCACACATAATGTAGTGGGGGGCATGGGGAAGGCAGTATAGTACAGAGAAGACAAGTAGTGATTCTATAGCATCTTACTATGCTGATGGACAGTGACTGTAATGGGGTATGTGGTGGGGACTTGATAATGGAGGGAACCAAGTAACCACAATGTTGCTCATGTGATTGTATATTAATGATACCATAATAAAGAAAAAAGTCTACACAAAACAACATTTTAATTTACTAAAATACTCCCAGAACAATTATGTCCAACCATTCTTCCCAATCCCTTCCCCATCTTACCATATCCTTAAATATACTAACAAGTATTACCTACTCCAAAAAGGAAAAAAGTATTTAAGACTTGAAATTTCTGGGAATAGGAAAGTAATTTGAATCCAGAAACTCAATGCATAATAAGGTTCAAAACTGCAGGTATCTTAAAGCCTATCCCTTTAGTGCTTAAAAAATCAACATATTTTCTTTTGCTACTAAAGACAGAAACACAATTCCACAATTTCCATTGCCTTTATTCTATACCATCTAGGCAACTATAAACTCTAGTCAATGTAGTCTCTTGTCCCTTATGAACAGGAGGTTTTTAAGGTCTCAAAGACATTTACTCTTCAGATAGGTAAAAATGAAAAAAAAGGATCAATCCTAAAAGGTTTATAGTAGTGAGAAAAGAAGATCATCTGTTTTGAGATAGCTTTGGGCTGATTTTCCCAGCAGGGGAGTCAGGTTTTATAAACCTTGTTCTCATTAGAAAAAGGTAGAGAAATCACTGAGAAATAGTATAATGGGTTTTTAAGCCTTGTGACAGGTTGAAACAATCTATTTTAGAACTATAGGCAGGTTTTTGGTTGGACTATGTATATATTTGGGTAGTTTGGTTTGTTTGTTAAAGGAGGATAGAATGTTAGTTATAACATCTTCTGATTTTGAAATTTACTACATGCTATACCTACCACCGTTCTCCCATGCTAAAAATTTAAATACAATCTCTATGAGCCTATTTATTCTGGATCAGCAAAGCTTCCAATGGAAAATGACAGCTCATCTAGAATAAATCTTCATCATCCTTTTGTGCTGAAATGCCAGAGGATTTGAAAACTAATCCACTGTACATTCTCATGTTCTTTTCTGTCCACCTCCTGTCTCCCTAGATCGTGTCCCTGATGCAACCATATTAAATTGATTTTTATTTAACAGAGGCCTTTACCAGCTCCACAAATAACTGCTCTGTGGTCTTTGAACTATTATTCCTTTCTCCCATTGTGTTTCATTTTTTGTTCATTTACTGTGTTACAGCATTTATACTGGGGATACACAGGTGAGCATATTCTCAAAGTGAAAGCCACTTTAGAAATCCCCAGTAGACAGGTTTAGTCAATCAGAGGTATATTACTTACCTTTGATTTCTCCCCAATCCTTTACTCTTATTCAAATAAAACAAATTTAAAAGCTTGTTTTCCTATGCTGAAAACACAAAAGGCTTTCTAAGTCTAAAAGAAAAATCTGGGGTTAAAAAAAAAAGCTAACCCCTTGAACAGAAAATGAGCTTCTTATTTCTGGTCATTTTCCCCATAGCTTTAAAGTAATTCTGTTTTAAAAATTAACATCCACTGAAGACACTGATAGAAGACTGCTTAATAATAATGCTTTGCAAGTAATAAGGAATGATGCCATTTGCAGAGGGATTTTAGGATTGAGAAATGCCATTCCAAAATCTCAGACTAAATGGTAAAGGATCCAGTTATAAATAGCCTTGACAGAAAAGAAAAATAATTCCAGAATTTGATTAAGAGAACATTTCACATACTTTCATTTAATAGAAGAGATGTCGAGTGAAATGTGAGCTCAGTGTTAAGTGGCTAACCAAGTTTACTGAGCTGGTTTATAACCAAGACCAAGGTACAACCCTGTCTAGTATATTCTTGCCATCACTCTGTATTGCTACTGGGAAACCAAATGTTCCTACATAATCACACTTCTTCTAAGATTACATAATGCCAACTCACAACAAAATCAATGCTCTTAGAAGATCTGGCAGTTGGCTTACCATTGTAACTGACCCCCAGAACATAGGCACCTGTAATTTGCAAGAGTTCTTTACTATGATTCAGGCTATTGAGTTGAAAATGATACAGTGCAGATTCTAAAACCAATGTGCTTATAATGAAAGGTCACTGGCTACAGATGCTCATTTCCATTTGCTATTTATTGTCCAAGTAACATATCCACACAGCAAACAATGGCTTCCTCCAACACTGCTTAAGGTTAAAAAGGATTTAGGCCTTTCTCAGGTTTCTAGTACTGCAGTATTTGGGGGAGGAAAGTATCTAACCTTTAAAATCTATTTGGTAACATGGCTAAACCTATTCACATAGCACATTAAAGCACCACACACATCTTCTTTATAGCAGTTTAATGAGTTCCTCTTGGAGCTTGCCTAGAAAAAGAAGTCATGATTCTTGCTCAAAGCAAAATGCAACAAGAAGACTTGCCACCAACAGAAGAAAATCAGCTACCTTACAGGCGTAATAATACGTGACACACTACATGGCGAGGCACAGTATTTCTGAAAATGCTAAGGCAGAATGGAATGAATACAGGAACAAAGAAAGAGAAGGAACAAAAGCACATGCTGGGTTGAGTCCTTAGAGCTCCACTGACACTGTGTGCATGCTGTGCTTAACAGTGGACCACTTAATTCACAAGATGTTTTAGAGCCTCTTCAGTTAAACCTCTCAGGTAGGGCCTAAAAAGTATACCTGGATACCCTGAACTGTGCTCTACTTCAGCAAAATTCACCTCTTATATGATGAAACCACCCAACTTATCCAAAACTAGTTTATTTTTTTCCTCTCATATACCAACAGAATTTCCACAACTTCATCACAAGGACCTTGAGCTGAATGAAGTGAGTTGTCTGGAGCTTGTGGACAGGGCACCCTAGTAAATGTAAATGTAACAAGGGGCTATGACATCTGGAGTCCACTTTTAAATACTTCAGCATAGGTAGGCAATGTGGTATTACATACTGGTTACAATTATACCCTCTACACAGTCAGCAGCCCTGATGGGAACTCATTTCCCCAGGGTGATCAACTAGCATCATATCAGATGTATCTCCACCTCAGTCAACGCCAGAGATTTTGCCAATTGGCATACTGAAGTGGGTTTTCATTGCTGAAATCAAAATCAGTGGCTTCCTAGTCAGCATAAAGGATGTTAGAAAGAGGCTTTCGTTGTTGAAACATGTGGAATTTAAAGTAGTGAATTGGCAAAATCATTTTAGACACCTCTACCCTTGAGTGAACAGGGCATAAGAATCTAGGAAGGCCCCAACTTGTACTCTTAGGACTGGTACCTGAGGCCCAGTTGCTCAATGGCCTTCGGTGCAGCAGCTGAGCCAGGGAATCCCTGGTGCTTGACACTCACTATAAACGTGAGAGAATCTGGCCTCTGGAAAGTGGTCAGGTCACTGGCCTTGAGTAATGCATTTTGAACAGATTTGGCTGGAGGATGAAAGGCCAGAGAGCAGGGACTTCACTGACTTTAGAGGAATGTTTTGTGCCTGTTCATTAGAGAATGGTTGTTTAACAAAAGTCTGTGTGCAGCAGAACTGGCCCGTGACTTACTTGAGCTGAGTGAGATTAGCAAATCCCTGCCCAAAACCTCAGCCATTTTGGCTGTTGCTATTTGTCCAGCAGAATTTAATAGTTGGGCATGACCAGATCGGCTTCAGACTATTCTCAGCAAATACATAACACAGATAACCGCTACACCAGAGCCCACCCCTACCAGCTCGGTGAATTTCCAAGAATTACACAAGCCATTGTGTTAAAAGCAGCCATTATTATACTAAAAATATCTAAATTTATGATTAAACACATTATATTGAAAACAAAGGTAATGGATACTCAAAACTGATTCAGTTCCTAACTATTTTCTCATATTTTACTAGTATTTATGTGAGTTATATCTGTACAGTGGAAAAACTATGCACCAGCAGGACTATTTACATTACAGAAGCCTGAAAATACTACTTATCAAGATTTTTTTTTTTTTTTAAGGGCTGGTTGTTAAACACTGGTGTGATGGTCTTGGATTAATAGAGCAGGTGAAGCCTTCCCTAAGATCTTCAAATGCACCAGCATAAATGAAACCCCACCACCACCTTTTCTGCAGGGGGACCACACGACCATGCACACCCGCCAGGCGGATGGGACACACTCACTTTTGAAGCAGCTGGCTCCACTAGTCTCTGGCGATGTCGGGCTGAGTTGAAATGGCTCTTCGGAGGCTGCCCTTCCTGACAGTGAATGGAAGATGGGGAATGAACACGAGCAGGAAAGGGGAGAAGGTGGGCATGGGATGATGGGAAATGGTCAGAAAAGGGAGAGGGACAGCATTTAACAGCACTGTACTTCTCTGTTTTACCTAAAATCTAATAAAAACCCACCACAGCTTCTCCCACATGCAAATCCTTTTGTTAAAAAGCCTACTGCATACTGAAGTCATGAACACAGCCCAGTATCAAGACATTTCCCATCAAATCTTCATTTTTCTATTATCAGATACTGGCTCTAATTGTATTTCAAGGATACTTAGGAAAACTGAAACATGATTCCCCAGAACACAAAGTCAATCTTCCTAGAATAACAAGGCATTAAGGAGCATTCTCAGACTTAGACTCACCACCTGTTTGGATGTCACCAAAATGATAGGGAAATCAGTCTCCCTCAAAACCATGGAAATCTGCTTTGCTTGGAAGCTCCTCTCTCCATCATCCTGGCAAAATTCCTGGTGTCTGACAGCCACCAAAAACTCTGCCTTTGAATGAAATTAAATTGTATTGGCTCAAAAAGGGATTGTGCATTAAGTTTATAACAACCTATGAAGAAGGGTATTCCTTCCTTAAACCAACCCTATTAACACCCTTGTGTGTGTGTATGTGTGTGTGTGTGTGTGTGTGTGTGTGTGTGTGTGTGTGTGTGTGTTGGATCACACAGAAAGACTTAATGTCTCCCCATTACTCATTCCATGCCAAACACACACACCCAAAAAACTCACGGAACTGTGTGCTGAGTTTGATGCCCTGTTTTTGCCATCTTGGAATTCTTTCTTTTTTATATTGAGGTACATACAATAAATGCACAAATTTTAGTATACAGCTTGTTGGAGAAAAAAAAACTCAAGGAACTATATTTTAAAGGGGACATCCAGAATAGAGGTTCCCATAGTGTAGTTTCAAAGATGTACGATAATAAACAAGAATTTAAGAACCAGCTCTGTCTGCTATGAGCACTGACTTCACATGAGACGAAAGCAACAGAGAGAGGGTCTCAGAGAAATCCCAGACTTAAAGCCCCTGGTCCAAGGCAGAGACCCAGGAGCCAAATGCCCTCAGATAAATGTTAACATTTGCTCATTTGCACATATCAGAGGAGAGTGAAGAAAACCTGCTACTTAGGTAAAAAGGCAATGTCTTTATTACAATACTTAAGAATTCTTCTCTTTTTTCTTCTAGGAATAAACAGCTCTATTACTTTTAAAACATGGATCAATCATACCCACTTGAATTGCCAACAATCACTGCTCTGGTGTCCAAAGTATAATGCTTACCTTTCAAAAAGGAAATGTCATAAGTAGCAGACTGCAAGTCAGGATTGTTTTTCCTAGTAACTGCCCTGCCAACATGCATTCTTTCCCTATCCACTTCTGAAAAAATGCAAGCAAATAGTTTTAAATCTCAGTTGACCTAGAAAATCTACCAAAGCTTTAATAGCAGAAATTATGCTCATTCAGTCACTGAATATTTAGCAAAAAAACCCAAAAAAACTGGTATGGTTTCCCATTCAATAGAATCAATAGTTTTTACATGAGAAATATTTTTTTTTAAAGCACAGATTACTTTTTTTAGCTTGACTTGAAAATTCTCATTTACATTTAATGGCTTATCAGAAAGCAGTTATAAAGTGTTTTTTTCTCCCTAAAAAAGTTATCAGATGTAAATAATTATCCTCATTAATATATCTGGAGAATAACCTGCCCTTATTAGCCTCCCTATGGAATGATTACAACCGATTTAAGAGTTCCAATGCACAATGCCAAGCTCCCACTCATCAGGAAAAAAATAAATCTCGATGTTAAATACACAATTACAGTCAATGTGCAAATTAACTAAATCCTGGGCCTGTGGTTTATTGCTCTTCTTCTGACTCCAAGGTGAAAATGTTATTTTTTTAAATTAGTTAATTGTACCATGGTCCCAGCAGGGGGCAGATGTTGGTATTAAACCTCGAATCTGAATCTTAAACTCCTGGTTTTGTGGAAGGCTGTTATAAAGAAAGTAAGCACATCCTTCAAGCGGAGACATGGGAATAGGTGTGTTTTTGAAACCTGGTCTCCATTTCATATCATTTATTATCAAGTACATTGAATCTGTAACAATAGTCTGCTTGCAGTGAACAAATAGGTCTATGAAATAATCAATATATTTACACAGATTCTAGTAATACATCTTAATAGAAAGCAAAGAACAGCGTGGAGGAGTGGTGTCATTTTAATGAATTGCATATGGAGTGAAAATAAAGGAATTATGAATAGCTCACAGCAAATTTTCCTCCAAATGACGTATATATTACATTTAAACTCATCTTAATTTTCAATAAAATGGTCATATTATTTTGATGATACTGAAGCTCTGTGGAAGGGTGTACATAGCGAGGTCCAAGATAGAGACCTGAGAATTTAATTCATTAGAAGCTGACATAGCTGTATTTTTTCTCTTTGGGGAGACCTTAATTTAAAAGTGTTTTCTTTCCCTTTGCCCAGTCCTGTTACAGGCCAGATTTCCTGACACATCCAGGCAAGGTACAAACAACCTACCTTTGGGCATAATCAACTGTATCCTGCTCAGTTATGAAATACTTTGCATTTTTTTAAAAAGCAAACAGCGCTCAATATCCCTATATAACAAATTTGTACATATAGTGTTCCATGTTAAGAAAAACACTAAATTCTATCACTCAGGCAAACATGAAAGACAAAATTTGTGACTTCATTTTCTTGTCTCAAATTCTTAGTCCCAAGAAACCATTTTTCCTCCTAAATAACAGCCTTCAGACTCTGGTATCTGTCATTCCATACGGAGACATCAGTCTCCTGGTACCATTTACCTCCTGCTAATGTTGTCAACATAGGCAAAATAACAGATTGGACCTGGGTGGGCCCCACAGGGCTCTCAACTGAATGGCTTATTTACATATGTAAATAGGGGCTCTTTACACCAAGGAGAAGGGGCAAAACCATTAGTTTTGTGGAAACAGAAGCACATTATATTGCTTAGGTCAACGTAACTAAAATCATTTTGCTGCTATAACCACCAGTAATAAAAGTAGCAGCCCAGGGTTATGTAAATAAACTATTAAAAGATGACAGAAGAAGTGTTGACATGTGCATAATCTGGAAACTTGAGACATATTTCATCTCCATGCTAAATGCTTTCATCAAGCTTTCTCCTGTTAAGTCAAGTCATTTTAGGAATTATGAACATCCCTTAACACTGCAGATCATAGTTTTAAAAGAAATTATTGTTCCCTAAACATTGCAGATCTGAAAGTGTTGTCCTTTAGCTTAATTTGCATTGCATAAACATACTTACAACAATGCTCTGTGGGCAACAATATATCAAGTGCGAAGTAATGGGTGCCCAGAGAATTAAGTGCCTGAAATCAGATTATTTAAATGCCTAATTCTTTAAATCAGTGTAAATTAACCTCAGAATTAGAGCCACAAGGAAAATTTAAAACTCAGCAGATACATAATTTTAGTATTAGTCCCATTATTTTAAAAAAATCTATTATTAGGTATTTTTGCAGCCTGGATATGTTAATGTAAGAAATCAAAGTCACAAAATTGTTTAAGGGATTCTAGACTTCTTAAACGTAAAGTCTACTTAGAAGAGTGTTAACCCTGAAAACAATTACATGCCTTCTCAGTTAAGAATAAACTTTTTTATCCAACTTTGAGACATCCTATTGTCCGTGATAAATATATTTCATCCCCAGTTGAAGTTCTTCCTAAAAACTATACTTAATTACACCAAAGCAGTTGCAAACAGGCACTAGGTAAAGGGGCCCTGGTGCATCAATAAAGCAATCTAGAATCATGCATGAAAATAAATGGATTGAAAGAATTCACAAGTTAGGGAGATTAAACAATGACCAGGCATATCAAAATATGGATCAAAACCCCAAATGAACATGGAAAAAAATGTGCCATTTAGAAACTAGAGCATATTTTCAACAATAATATCATAGGCTTCTAAAGTCAGTGGAACAAACCCCATAAAGATGAAAGCCGATCATTTTTTCCTGTCTTCTTTCAAACCCAGGTTTTTCAACTTGGCTCAAGAGCAGAGCCACCAAAATGCAGGTCAGGGAATGGATACTTCCACCTCTGAAAACAGACCCCAAGACACTGGCTCTCTTTGAAGGGCCCCCACCAGTAAGATGGCAAACTTCCGGCTTCTCTTTTTGGCGGGGGGGGGTCCTCGGTTCCCGCCGGCACCACCTGAAGCCCAATCACCTCTCGCTCCCCTCCCAATCCCAGCACCTAGCCAACAGCCACCAGCCCCATAGAAGTGACACCTCAATCAATTCATGCCCCTTCCTATATAACCCAGCACCTTTCCCTAATAAAGCGGAACTCTCCGGTGAATTGCTGCTATGTGTCGCTCCTTTCCTTTCATTGGTGCCGAAACCCGGGAGACGGGACACCCCAACTGGGCCCCGTCTTCCCCCCGACACCAGCAGCAGCTTGCCCTCGTCCTCTTTTTCCGGCGCTGGCTCATCACACTCACCACTCCTCTCTGGCCTTTAGGTAAGTTTTCCCCCCGGAGTGGGCCACTCTTCCCCGAGCTATCGCAGTGCCATTGACCGTGATCGTCCGGCAAGGCCCTGACGCTCGGGGATGAGGAGGGAACGCTCCCCGCCTCAGGCCTTCACGGCTGCGGCGGACCCTCAGGCCCCTCCTCCAACAGCCATAAATCCCCGCCTCAAGCCTTTACGGCTGCGGCGGACGCTCAGGCCCCTCCTCCGACAGTCATAAATCCCCGCCTCAGGCCTTCACGGCTGCGGCTGACTCTCAGGCACCCCCCTCCAACAGCCATAAACGAGGTGACTCCTTTGTGGATGAGAACGCTCCCTTTTCCCCCCCTCCTCCTTCTGCTCCGTCCGCCGAAAACGCCTAGCGCTAGGTACCTCGTGACTCCGGCACTCTGCCTTCTTAGGGAAGTCTGGGTGACGA